GAATCCTAAGCAGGGATAAGTCTGCGCCTAACACGCGCTGCCGGTTTAGTCTTTCTCCGTAGAAAAAGACACCAGAGTTCGATTCTGGGGTATTCTATCCTGAAACCTGAGCAAGGATAAGTCTGCACTTAACCCGCGCTGCCGGTTAGTTCTTAACCGTTAAAAAGAACACCCGTCCACATATTCAACATTGTAGTAGGTTCCGATTGAAAAAGACACCAGGGTTCGATTCTGGGGTATTCTATCCTGAAACCTAAGCAAGGATAAGTCTGCGCCTAACCCGCGCTGCCGGTTAGTTCTTAACCGTTAAAAAGAACACCCGTCCACATATTCAACATTGTAGTAGGTTGTTATTAATAACACCAAAATCCATGCCTTACACGCATGGGGAATGTCATCCTGAATCCTAAGAAAGGATATGTCGACACCTAACACGTGTCGCCGGTTTAGTCTTTTACCGATTGAAAAAGACACCAGAGTTCGATTCTGGGGTATCTCATCCCGAAGCCTAAGTAGGGATAAGTCAACGTCTAATACACGTTGCCGGGTAGCCTATTCCCGTAACAATGGCGAAGCCTATGTATTCAACATCATAGCACAAAGTCTCAGAGAATTCACTCTCTTAGCACAACGTTACATGCGGAACGGACTTGAACAATCCGCATGCTAGCCCGACTCAAACGGTAGTCGGTAAAGGCTAATCAAACCCGTTGAAGGCTGGGGGTTAGCCAAAAACCCTAAAGTCAACGCCTAACACGCGTCGCCGGGTAGTCTATTTCCGTGAGAAAGACGAAGTCTATGTATTCAATATCGTAGCACTAAGAGCGTTAACTCTCTTAGCACAACGTTACATGGAACGGACTTGAACAATCCGCATGCTAGCCCGACTCAAACGGTAGTCGGTAAAGGCTCATCAAACCCGTTAATGGCTGAGGGTTTGCCAAAAATCCTATAAATACGAAAGTCACTGACGCATCAGCTCCATTAGTTGGTCTCGTGACTTGAGCATCCAACGACGTTCGAAACCCTAAGGTCAACGCCGGACAACGCGTAACCCTAGGTCAACGCCAGTCAATGCGTTGCGAGCAAAAATTCAACGTACGACGTTCGAGACCCTAGGATCAACGCCGGTCAACGCGTAACACTAGGTTGCCAAAAATCCTATAAATACGAAAGTCACTGACGCATCAGCTTCTTTAGTTGGTCTCGTGACCTGAGCATCCAACGACATTCAAAACCCTAGGATTAATGCCGGTCAACGCGTAACCCTAGGTCAACGCCAGTCAACGCGTTGCGAGCAAAAACTCAACGTACGACGTTCAAAACCCTAAGGTCAACGCCGGACAACGCGTAACCCTAGGTCAACGCCTATCAATGCGTTGCAATGAAAGAACTAAAACTCCAAAGAGTATACGAGAATAAACTGTTTCTCGATCCTCCAACCGGTATAAGAGGTTAAACTACTCCCATACTCCAATAAGGTATATGAGTATAAACTGTTCCCTAATTTTTTGAGAAGTTCCTGGAGAATGTTTTCTATAAATATTCTTAAGGATAACTCAACAATACGACGCCGGACAACGCGTTGCAGATAAAGATTCGACGCCAACAATCGATGGTCAGCTAAATCAGGAACCGACTTCAAAGTTCAAAATTCCGACAACGGTCAGACAATAAATGCAGCACCGAAACTCTTTCAGACATTCGACAAAGCACCGAATAGCCTGGAGAATTGAAGGAATCAAGAACGGAAGTCATTCCAAGGTCCCATTACACCGACTGAAGGTTGGGACAAGCATATCCAAAGTATTCCAGACTCTTCTATAAAAGAACGAGACTGAAATACTTTGGAGGGGGTATCTGTAGGCATATAAAATTGCTTATAGGTCCCCTAGCATAGCTCGGCACAAACCGACGAACCAACGAGGCGACGAGATCGACGAATCGCACGCAAGCGACGGAATGCATCCATACGCGTTCGGAATCAAGCCAAGTGTCAAAGAATCAACGAGTCATCCAACCGAGAACAGACTCAGACGAATCACGATCGAATCAAGATCAGTTTCGAACTCGAACTCAGAAGCGGATTTACTGCCAAATCAGGATTCCGACTCACTGCCAAATCAGATCAACAAATCAAAGTTTAAGTCAACCGAAACACGGACAAACGAGACAGCGCAAAACCTCGGAAAACCCACACCTAAGGGGGCGGGTTGGAAATTTTGGAGAGGCGAAGCCCTGCTGGATTGGAGACTCAGAACTTAACAAGATTCAAGCTTTGGGACTTCGAGGACTTGCACATCCAGATCTGGTGCTCGACGATCATCAACGCCAAATAAGGCAGGAGTTCGAGAGGACCGGATCTCAGATCTACGCATACGTACTCCGGATCTAAGCTTGGTCTTAGATCCCGAGACTTGGACGATTGTTTCCTTGGTGAAACAATCCTCCCCGGCTATTATTTCCTTGGTGAAATAATACCCGTTGTACTGCGTAGATCCGACCGGATCTAGATCGCGCGGTGGTCCACGGCAAACAACCCCGGCGCAGGCAAAGAACCCACACAAGCGAGCGACCGCAAAACAGGAGCTCGTGATTCGTTCGACAAACAAGGAAACAAAGTTGTAATTTTCATTTCTTTTCAATTTGATTTTCGTTGTAACCGGATCTTATAAAAAGACCGGATCTTTGTAATCGATAGACTATTACAAGAGTGTACGATGGAATCATTAATGAAGAAAGCAACGAATTTCCCCGCGAACAGTAACAGTAGCCATAGATTGTTGTAGATCTTCACTATCCAATGTGAAGCTTAGCATGCTAAGGTAATTTTTAAAAACAATCTCTTATACTCCAGTTTTGTCACTTATATCCTCCAGAACAATCTGAAAAATAATAGCAACATTAATTTTATAGTTATTGGTTATACCCACTTATTCCCTATTTTGGTATCTATAAGATATATTTATTTTGGTGTCTATTATTTTTGGTACACCCCTTTGAATGCTTCTCTAGTGTGTATTTCCAAATGGCTAAATACGAGATTGGTATTTTTTGTTGAACCATTTTGACAATTTGGTATTTTTTGTTGCCCCGGCAACAATTTGGTATTTTTTGTTGACCCATATTGACAATTTGGTATTTTTTTATTACCACAGCAACAATTTAGTATTTTCTTGTTGATCCAGATGGTCAAATAGGCCCAAAACTTGGTCACCGGCGAGAAGGATTTAAAATTAGTCCATCAAATCTTCACTGTTTTGATACTTGTCCCCCAAATCATTAAATTTTGAAAGCAATTTAATTATTTGACTTAATTACAAACCCAAACTCTTTTCAAATTCTCATCTTCTCCATTTCATCACTTGCAGCCTCCCTTACCCATTTAACTCAATTACAAATCCAAACTCATTTTAAACTCTCATCTTCTCCTTTTCATCCTCTTACAAACCCAAATCCTATTTAATTCAATTACAAACTCAAACCCATTTCAAACCCTCATCTTCTTCATTTCATCCCTTTACAAACCCCTTACTCATTTAACTCAATTATTAATCCAAACCCATTTTAAACTTTTGGGTTTAAAATAGAGAAGATGAGAGTTTGAAATAGGCTTGGGTTTGTAATTGAGTTAAATGGGTAAGGAGATAAGGAATGTAATCGAGAAGATGAGAGTTTGAAATGGATTTTGATCTGTAATTGAGTTGAATGGGTTTTGTGTTTGTAAGGACATGGACAAGATGAGAGTTTGAGATGGGTTTGGGTTTGTAATAGAATTAAATGGTTAAGGGGTTTGTAAGGGGATGAAATGGACAAGATGAGAGTTTGAAATGCATTTAGATTTGTAATTAAGTTAAGTGGGTAGGAGATTTCTAAGGGGATGTAATGTAGAAGATGAAATTTTGAAATTAGTTTGGGTTTGTAACTAAGTTAAATAGGTAAAGTATTTTCAAATTTTAATGATTTGGGGGGTGGGGCAAATATAAAAATAGCAAAGATTTGAAGGACTAATTTCAAATTTTTCTAGCCGACAATCAAGTTTCGGACCTATTTGGCCTTCGGGTTCAATAAAAAAATACCAAATTATCACCGGAGTGACAAAAAATGTCAAAATAGGTCAACAAAATACCAATGTGGTATTTTGGCCATTTCCAAATGATAAGCATGTTGCATGGACATTTTGTTTGCTCCCATTCAAGGAAATGTCAGGAGGTTACGCCCCTAGTCCAATCCCGTCCTAGCAGCCATTACACCAGAGATTATGTTGGTTATCATTCTCTCCTATTATAATTAAAGGTTTGAGGTCTTGGCGTCAATCATACCTCATGTTTGCTTTATTGGCATGGGTGTTGGCGCATATATGGTTTTCAATTGGAAGAATTAATAAGTATAATAATTTAGTTTAGTCATAGGTTTCTATCAATCGATTTCTTTTTCTTAATTCTCTCCAATAAAACATTTGCAAATCAACTTGTGGTAATTTAAGCCTTCGAGCTCCTCATTCATTTGTCATTGGCGAGAAATGTCCTCTAGTAGTCTTTATGTAATACCGGATGGACGGGTGTCTCGGGCCACTTACAACTCGACCAAATAGGTAATGCTTGAAATCGAGCACGACATTGTCGATATGTATTAGTATCAGCCTATACTTCAAACCTTGATTAGTTCTTTTTTCATCGGATTAATATATACCAAACACCTTCAATGCACCCAATGGAATGGAAATTGTTGTTCGATGAAAATCTTAATTACCTTTGGAGCATATAAAATGAGAATGCAAATGAGGTATCTGGTATACGTACATGTGTGTCTGTGTGCACATGGGCACGTACGTGCGTCTGGGGTTCTGTTTGTGTGGGTGTCGACCAATAATGTATCCTTATCCCAGCTAAACTGAATTGTAGCAATGAAACTTTGTGGAGATACTTACTAAATGAATAAATGGGTAACCTTATTAGTTGTGCCAACTTGTATGATATATCATCCTCATTCACCTCTAGTTGGACGAGCTGAGGACTGTGTATGAGGAACTGCCGGATCTTCTGGATCAGGTAACAAATGGTTTCTCAATATCCAGATTCTCAAGTGACCTCCTGCTTTATGTTTTCATGTATTACCCATTACATTAATTACCGTGCAGGTGTCAGCATCTGAAAATGCTTCTCTTCCTCTTATGCATGATAATAACAGAGCTCCACATATTGTGTATGTTCATCAAATAGGTCGGTGCATTCTTTTTTCCTTTATTCTATAAGTTGTGATTCTTAGTATTCACTTGTGTTCCACATTTCATTTTTACATGGTGAATTTCCTTCAAATTGTTTCATATATTATAAATTTTGTGACTACAGTTGCCTACACCCAAGTAAAGTTTAAATTTTGCGGAGTAAGCGTATGAATGTTATTTTGTGTATGTTGTATCACGGCTTGATATAATTGGTGACCGCAGTGGTTTGTTATAATAACAGACCATTTGTTTATTTATTTGCATAGGCAGTTCTTTTCATATTAACGTTATTTTGTGTATGTGTGTATGTTCTTTTTCACTTATGGCCGCTGTTGTTCTAAGTTTGCTTTATAATTGTACAAGTATTGTTGATCTTCCCAATATTTTTTTATTATTCCTCATACCGCAATAGCTAAAACTTGGGGATTGGGATCCTCTACTAAGGCATAGTGTCTCCTAATATCTCCTAATGCATCTTCACCTTTCATTGCATAGTACCTCCTCATATTTTGTGTTTATGCACAAAATGAAAGGTGGAGATGCATTAGGAGATATTAGCAGGCACTATGCCTTAGTAGAGGATCTCAATCCAAAACTTGGTACGATTTTAAATTGCCTTCGTTTTTTTAAATCGAATAAGACACATGTAAATGCTGTTGGAAAGTCTTTGCTTAGGGGACCGTGCTCACTATATTGGAGGGACATGCGATTATGGCTTTCTTTTAGTGGCTTTGAAGTTCTTACTAACTTACTACACCTATGCTGTCAATCTAATCATGTTATTGTTGCTTTCTTCGCAAATGGTACACACAATTTTTCCATCGTTCTTTCTCTTACTTTTATTCCTGCGCATTTATCTCATTTTCCATAGGATACTTAATGTGTACTTATGATAAGCTTGAAGAAGAGGACCTGCAACAGCTTCAAGATTTTGAATTTGCGGTATGTAGCTATTTTATGTTTTTGTAAATCATTCTCCATATAGAATTAACATAAATTCCAATTCAGTTTTCAGAAGATGGGGATGAGAAGAAATATTTTTATCACACTTTCAAAACTAGAGAATTGGACAACCTTCTTGGAGATATATATCATAAGATTCTTGGTATGTTGTTATCCATTTCTGTTCTGTTCCCTGGTCAGAATGACAATTGTAATAATCATAAACTATAGTAACTTTCAGACAAAATAGAAGCTAAAAAATTTATTGTGTGTGTTTATTATTTAATGCAAGCTATACATTCTCATATTATACCCTGACATGGGAGCACATGTTTATTTACGCCCAATGGAAATTTTGTCTTGCAGACATGGAGAGAGCAATTATAAGAGACTTGGTGACTCGCATTCTCCAATTCACACCTCAGCTGATAAAGGCTGTGAATTTTGCTGCAGAGCTTGATTGGTAATGATTTTTTCAAATATATTCAAGTATTTTGTCTGTCATTACTTTTGTGAACGCTTCTCATTCACTTCCCTTCATCAGCTTTCTTTCACTGGCATTAGTTGCTCGTCAAAACAATTATGTGAGACCGATCTTGACTGACGATTCATTGATTGACATTCAAAACGGAAGGTAGCCCCTGCGCTTTGATACCTATAGATGATCGCTTTTTTTGTGAGACTATATTATAGTGTATCGGAGGAAAAATATCAATGTTTCTTGTTAAATTTTGTTTCTTTTCTATCTATAAAAACAAGCTATGGGACTTTTTAGAACTAAAAGGGGATACAAATTTACCATATTTATTTGTCAATACTTTCTTCAATAAAAATGTACTCCTGTAAGAAGTGGCTTTGGAGCCATTATAATGATATAACTACAAAGTAAAAGATCACAAGCCCTAGCAATCTTTTCTCTTCACATTTTATCCACTTTTCCTAAAAGTAAGTAGACGTAATAAAGTAATATATACCTCTGGTTTTTTTATTTTTCAATTGTGCCTTACAGAGCTTGCTTAACTAACTATTATTCTATTCGTAATCAGGCATGTTTTGCAGGAAATGACTGTTGATACTTTTGTACCTAATGATACAAAAATTCTCAATGATGGTATTGCCACTCTGAACTTCTAGGTTTACCATAATACATTTCCAAATATTGAAAATGTGCATTGTCTTTTTCAGGGAGAATAAACATAATCACTGGTCCAAACTACTCGGGAAAAAGCATTTATGTTAAACAGGTTTGACATCTGATTTACTTCTATTATTATTCCTATCAATTTGTTTACTTTCAAGTCTTCAAATAACACTAGTTCTAGTGAATATTTACTTCCTTTCAGCATTCATATTGTTGACGGAACAATACTGCTTGTTGCTTTCCTGAGTATTGAGCTTTCTTAATTATATTTTCTTATCAATGATTCATGTATTAAGCTATCAAGTTAATTAATAAATATTAATTTCCTTCTTTATTGTTGAAGAAATATTGATTTCACTTTAGTTCATGGTAGCAGTTTAAAGAATGTGAAAACCCTAACTCTTATTATGAGATCTCTTGGGCTTATATAAGCCCCTACACAACTTACAAATAAGTCCCTATATATTACTAATATGTTAACACTCCTCCTCAAGGTGGGCGAAAGATATCCACTAAGCCCATCTTGTCACATCATCTAATCATATCTAATGAGCTAAGTCCTTTAGTCAGACAATTTGCTGCCTGGTCCTTAGTTAAAACATGACTTAACTCCAGTAGTCCACTATCCAACTTCTCTTTGATGAAGAACCTATCGATCTCGATGTGTTTGGTTCTATCATGATGCACTGGGTTGTTGGCGATACTGATAGCTGACTTGTTATCACACCACAACTTCATCTTAGCTCCTTGATCCAGCTTCAGTTCCACCAGCATACTCTTCAACCATAGTAACTCAGCAACTCCTAAGGCCATAACTCTATACTCTGCCTCAGCTGTTGATTTCGCCACCACTGACTGCTTCTTGCTCTTCCGCGAGACTAAATTGCCTCTTATAAAGATGCAGTATCCTGAGGTGGACCTCCTGTCATCAGCACAGCTAGCCCAATCAGAGTCGCAATAACCCTCGATGCTCACATGTTCATTCTTTCTGAATATCAGCCCATTTCCGGGGGCACTCTTCAAATATCTCAGAATCTGGTACACAGCATCCATATGACCCTTCTTCGGATCATGCATGTAGCGGCTCACCACGCTCACTGCAAAAGAGATATTGGGACGTGTGTGACTCAGATAGATTAACCTGCCCACCAGCCTTTAGTATCTGTCACGATCAACTGGTTCTCTAGCTTCAGCACCCGGTTTGAACTTCTGGTCGATCGGTGTAGTTACAGGTTTACACCCTAACATCCCTGTCTCTTTGAGAAGATCCAGTGCATATTTTCTCTGGGATAGAATTCCCTCCGCTCCTCGAGCTATTTCTATTCTAAGAAAGTATCGAAGCAAGCCAAGATCTTTCACCTCGAATTCCTTACCCAGTCTCACTTTGAGTTGGGCAATCTCCTTCTCATCATCCCCTGTAATAATCATATTATCCACATATACCGCAAGTATGGTGATGTGACATTCATTTCGTCGAAAGAACACGGTATGATCGGCGTTAATCTGGCGGTATCCCATACCTATCATAGCCCGCCTAAATCTATCGAACCAAGCACGGGGAGATTGCTTCAGGCCATATAGAGACTTCTTCAATCTGCAGACCTTGCCCACTATCTGATCTGTGTTGAATCCTGGCGGAATTTTCATGTATACCTCTTCCACCAGATCTCCATGAAGAAATGCATTCTTCACATCTAATTGGTGGAGCTTCCATCCACCATTTACTGCCAGAGAGATCAAGGTCCGAACAATGCTCATCTCCGCCACTGGTGCAAAAGTCTCATCATAGTCGATGCCATATGTCTGACTATATCCTTTTGCCACCACACGAGCTTTGTAGCGCTCAACCTGTCCGTCTGGATTCTGCTTCACAGTGAAGACCCACTTGCATCCAACTGTTCTCTTCCTTTTTGGTAGTTTTACTGACTCCCAAGTACGGTTCTTCTCAAGGGCCCCTAGCTCTTCGTGCATAGCAACTTTTCATTTTGGTCCTTCTTTGCAACCTGCCAATTGTTAGGTATAGTAACAGAGTCCAGTGATGTAATGAATGCTCCATGTGCAGGGTGGATGTTAGAGTATGATACAAACTGGGCAAGATCCCAACCATATCTATCGAATGCTCCATGTGCAGGGTGGATGTTAGAGTATGATACAAACTGGGCAAGATCCCAACCATATCTATCGGGAGGATTTCCCGTATTACTACGAGTAGTCCTCTGTACAGATATTGGTGTGGGAGGAGTACGAAGAGGAATGGTATTACCTTGAGAGGAATCTGGTGGTGGTGTAGGTGTCTCAGGAGTCGGGGCAGACGTTGGCAAGGGACTTGGCACCAGTGGCACTGTAGATACTGTTCTCATAATTTATTCCCCCTTCCTACTATAGGTAAGTAGCTCCCCCTGAGCTGTGGGTCTAACACCTCTTATCTCATTCTCTTCTTCTTCTTTATTCTCCTGCTCCTCCTCAACCAATTCTTCTTCCCAAGGAATCGTTACAGAAATTGATTACTCTGATCTCTCACCATTCTCAGACATTGATTTCTCCACATTCACCAATCTCTCAGCATTCTCCTCCTCTCGCCTCATACTTCCAGTATTAGGCGAGTTACCAACGGATGAAGTTACCTTCTCAGCATTCTCCTCCTCTCGCCTCATACTTCCAGTATTAGGCGAGTTACCAACGGATGAAGTTACCTTACGGGTGTAATATGACTCGGGTTCTCGAAAGTGCACATCCATGCTCACAAACAGCCTTTTCTTCACCGGGCTCCAACAAACATATCCCTTCTGAGTAGCAGAATATCCCACAAAGATGCATTTCACCGCTCTAGGAGCAAGCTTCCCGACGGATGGCCTGTTGTCCTTTACAAAGCACACACAGCCAAACACTTTGAGTGGAAGAAGCCCACCATTATCTCCCTTCAATGACTCACATGGAGACTTCCAATCCAGCACTCTCGAGGGCATTCTGTTGATTAGTGCTGCTGCGGTCAACACTGTTTGCCCCCATAATATTTCTGGGACATTTATAGAGATCATCATACTTCTAGCAACCTCTAAAAGATATCTATTCTTTCTTTTCGCTACTCCATTTTGAGCTGGTGTGTATGGACACGTAGTCTGGTGTTGTATTCCCTGAGCTGACAAGTATTCCCCAAACGCTTTGTTAGTATACTCCGTCCCATTATCAGATCTCAATACCTTCACCACAGCGCCGTATTGAGTCTGAGCATACCTATGAAAGTTTTGAAAGCAACCAAACACTTCACTCTTATTTTTCATCAGGTACAACCAAGTAACGCGGGAGAAACAATCAATAAAGGTAACAAAATACTTGTATCCATTCATAGAACTTGTGGAACAATGCCCCCAAACATCTGAATGTATCAGGTCGAATGCACGAGAACTCCTCTGACCAGAACTTACATAAGAACTTCTAGTAAGCTTTCCAAACTCACATGCATCACACACAAGGTTCTGCTTATTTGCTTTCTCAAATAGAGATGGATACAACCTACTTAAAACACTAAAGGATGAGTGTCTCAAACGCTGGTGATGAAACATCAAAACACTCTCAGCACTCATCTCAGATCCTACTTCTGCTCTCTCTATCATTGACACCAATGTTGAATCCAGCCCTTCACGATCCAGATACCACAGTCTACTATGCCATGTGTCAGTCCCAAGTCTCCGTCCTGTCCCCGTCTCCTGGAAGATCACCTTGGGAATATCAAAAGAAACAATACATTTTAGTTGGAGGATGATAGCACTAATGGACAAAAGATTGACTGGAAAGGAAGGAGCATGCAAAACATTGGACAATGTTACAGAACCTGTACAATCGACTGTACCCTTACCAACCACTGGCTGAAATATACCATCAGCTGTTTGAATATTATCAGGCGATGCTAGGTGAGTATATGATGAGAACTCACTAGCATTACCTGTCACATATCGAGACGCACCGGAGTCGAGTATATGATGAGAACTCACTAGCATTACCTGTCACATATCGAGACGCACCGGAGTCGACTATCCATTTTGATGATCTGTCGGGAAACATAAAAGTAAGAGCATGTATGTCATCAGTACCTTTGGTCGGATGAGCATAGGTAGCAGTGTTGCCTCTGGCGAAGAATGACGTGGATGCTTCCTCTGTCCCACTCCTCATGTCTCCATCCCCTGCTACTTTCTGCTTCCTTCTGAGTATCGCCAGGAGCGCCTGATCCTCCTCAGTAAAGACCACCTCAGCTTCTTCTCCTCATTCTGTTACCATCAGATTCGCCCGGTTGCCTACTCCTCTTCCACCTCGTCGACCTCCACGGCCACGACCACGTCCCCCGAACTGTCCACGTCCACCCGAATCTCCTTCCTTGGGTGGCTTGGTGCAAGCATGCCTTAGATGACCCGAACTGTCCACGTCCACCCGAATCTCCTTCCTTGGGTGGCTTGGTGCAAGCATGCCTTAGATGACCCACTTCACCGCAGTTATAGCACTGCTGAGTCTCTCCCCTGGATCCAGTGTGGCTAGATGCTGCCAGTGCTGACTTCACCACAGGAAGTCCACCTGTCCCCGCCTGCAGTCTAATGCGAGTCTTCTCCTGGACCATAGCCGAGACAGCCTCCTCAAGCGTGGGAATTTTCGGCTGAGCTAGCAGTAATGCAATTCGCTGGGCGAAATCTGATGTCAATCCCTTGAGAAATACCATAGTCCTCTCCTGTAGAAAGGCCTCCCGCTCTTTACATCCCGGGTCCTTGCAGCTCGTCCGGGGGGAGAAGTGATCATAATCTAGCCACAGGCGCTCCAGCTCTGTGGCATATTATAGGGTATAAATTTTGATCTCCCGAAAACAGGGAACTTCGTTTGTATTGATAAGAAGGCTTATTACAAACTAATAAATCGAAATTACAACAGAAGCAGAGGGAATGCCCTTTTTGTTTAGTGTGGGGACTTTCGGTGGCTACAGGATGCTTCGCTCGATGCTCGTGTCGAGTCTGTTTCCCTTGGACCGTTCGACCGAGGTTGCTGGGGAGCTTCAGTACGCAGTAGAAGCTCGAGTCGATGGAGTTCGGATCTTCTAGTTCACCGGCGATCGGGGCTCAGAACTAGGAAATGGCGCTGCGGTGCAAGAATTATGCAGAGAGCTTGGTCTCCATCCTCTTTCTCCAAGTTTTTTGACCTCTTTTAAAGGTTGTTGGAAGAGGCTCTTAAATGAAAGAGAGGCAGTTTGGCTGTTCCTTGAATTATGGGATGTGACCACACATTATTTAGAGACATCCTGTTGTCCACCCGTACCATAAGCGGTCATTCGAGGAGCCGTGTTTTGCATCACGTCACGTAGGAATGGGAAAGCCCCTCCTCGTACATGTGACAACGGCTGTCAGATACTCGAGTGGATCTGACCAACTCACCGAGCGCCGGCGGTTCTCACCCCTTGCTTGGACAAGTGAGGTGAGTTGCATTTATGAGGGTGCAGGTTGATTGGGCGTTTGTCCGATCACTTGTTCTGTGAGCGGCCATCCGGCGGGTCTGGAGCACCGTGTCTTCTCTCTTCAGGCCGAGAGAGGTGGGAAAGCGGGTTCCTGGTACTCGAGTGGGCTTGGACAGCTCGCCGAATGCCGGCGGATCCAGCTCTTGACTCGGACAGCCGAGGTGAGCTGCACTTATGAATGTTCAGGTCGACTCGACACCTGCCCAATCATTCGTACTGTGAGCAGCCACTTGACGGTCTTGGAGTACTGAGAGGTGGGAAAGCCCATCTCGGCACGTGGGGTAGCAGATACCCGGCCATATTGGCGGCCTTGAGGTTTGCTGGCAGATTTGAATACAGACTCGGTCGGGCGAGTTGTGATAAAGGGTGAATCCCCGTGGCTTTGGGCGATTTCCCCTTACAGGCGGATTTCTTGCAGGACCACGGAGGTATTTTTTACCGTCTACACATATTCCTGTATAGTCCTCTCTCCCTGGACTGTGGCGTCGATCTCTCCTTTAATCTGGAACACCCTCAGGTTATTCCTCACTCCATCATAGGTCCTCCTCAACTTCTCCCAGACGTCCTTCACCTTCTCAATGCCATCCACTGTGGCGGCGATCGTCGGGACCAACGAGTTGAGGAGCCAGATGTACACCAACATATGAGTGGACTTCCACTCATCTCGTCCTCCCGAGTCCTCATCCGGTTCTGTCTTCTCTCCTGTCAAGTAACCCTCCAGGTTCCTCCCTGCAATGGTGTATCTTACCCGTCGTGACCAACTCAGGTTGTTAGACCCTAGAGGGGGGGTGATTAGGGTCTTATGCTAATCTAATCCGATTAAATACCAATTAAAATTAATTAACAAGTTATCCTAGCAAGTATGAAATACCACAAGATATATGAGCTAGGATAAGCAATATAAACAATGAGATATATCCTATATGATGAAATATATATGCAATGATATATAAACTAACACAAGGGTAAACAATATGAAGCAAGATAGAGGATGATATGAATAATGAGACAATGACGATATGAGCAATGAGCACATATATAAATAAACGCCAAAGCACACTCAAACACAATCAAATGATCACGGAGTTCGGACCTTCTGTCCTACGTCTCTACTCCCCACTCCTGGGGAGAAATCCACTAACACAACCGGGTTTTCTACGCTCACCCGAATAACGTTTACACCTCACACTCGGTTTTCTAGCTAACCGAAAACTTTACAATCGACACTCTTGCAATCACACTCTACACCCTTAAAAGTGTTGGACCTAGTCGTGTCTCCCTCAAGTACTCGGTTACAACCTCTCCCTAGGCTCGTCAACCGACGCCACTCCTTTTGGAACGATCCCCGACTCTTACCACACACTCCTCTCGGTGTACAAGTATATACAAAGTGATTCTCACGATTAGGCTCAAAATAACAAGTGATTGTTCTCCAATATGAATGAGAACACAATGAAAGCTCACACTCAAAGTTTTAATTTTCACCAACCCAAATATATTATGAATGCAAATACACTAAGCTCAAGTGGGTGTGTAAACAATGAGTGAAAACAAAATCAAACTAAACTCAATTAAAATCTAGCATATAGAAATTATAAACAAGATAATAAATAGCTAGAAATGAGTTTTGAGATTCTTCTCTGAATAACAAGATGGAGAGATAGAGATTGAAGCCCAAACAAGAAGATGATCTCCTCCACTTGTGAAAACCAAAACAGCTTTAAACCAAACTCAAACCAACCATAAACCCTTGATAAAAACTTTCTTAAACTTGTTTAAAACACTCTCATGGTTACTGAGATAGAAGGAGGGTTAGGGGTTTATATAAAAAGAGGAAACAACAGCAAAAACCCCAAACAAATGATAAAAAGCCCCAGCCAATGGTAATAAGAAATAGCCGTTGGACAGGGTCTGACAGAGCGGCGGGCGACCGAAAAAACTGAGAAAATGAGCAGAGACTTCTTCGGTCGACCGGTGCGGTCGACCGTGGGAAGTCTCGAGCTCTCGGTCGACCGTGACGGTCGACCGACAAACTCTCTGCTGCCCACTGACAAATGAACACAGGTGCGGTCGACCGGTGCGGTCGACCGAGGACTGATATATGAAAATGAAGTCTGAAAACTGTTTTTCTGATTTTAAAACACTGTTTAAAAATATCAAATAAATTCCAAAAAATGTAAAACTTTGGGGAATGATTGTAGACATGATAATAAACATGCTACAACGACTGGTTTTCAAAAAGGACTTCCCAAATGAAAAATATCATCATTTTACAAAATAATCCAAAACACGAAAATGTAAACATGTGAATTTTGACATTTAGGCTAAACCATGTTTTAAAACTTTGCACAATGATTATGTACACTTAATAAAATATGTATATGATTATTGTTAAGTCCAAAAACTAAGAATACAGAATTTTCACAAAATTGCATATTCTATGCAATGTTTTCAAAAACACAATAGTAAATATGAAATATGTGATTTCATATTTATAAACATGAAAACCCAAAACCATGCATGTATATAAATGTATATAACTATATTAAAACTAATTTACCCAAGCTAGATCTTGATCTTCAATAAGCTCGACTTGGTACACATGCGGATGAAGCTGAACTTGGATCTTGAACTAGAATTGCATAAGCTTCACCGACATTCCGCCAACCTCCTTTGGATATGATCGTTGAAGCTCTATTCCATCCATCCTCCAACTACGTTGTTTGTCTATAATAAATAAAAAAACACAAATACTAAACAAACAACATTAGTGGTAAATTATTTGTCAAATATCATCAAAACAAGAAGGCCAACAAAGGTAAGTACTCGGTCCATCAAGCTTCAGATCGATGGTCGGAAGCTCCAACTTCTTCGATGGTCTTGTCGCGCTCTCATCAGCCGACAAGTTCATCAACTTCATCAAAGTTGACACCTCTGCAGGGTTCAACTTCTTGATGATCTCCTCCATCGACCAGGCTTCAGATCTAACACATGTTCACCTTTTTCTTCAAACCCTTGTTGTGTGCAGTGAAAATTTCGGCAGCACCTCTGCTGCACAACAAGAGTAAGATCTCAAACAAATTCTCGTTTCTCAGAGGAAACAAAAATAAAAAACAGTGATATATCTCATCATCGTGAGATATATACTTTTCCTGTCATCAGTTCGAGTACTGAGTCGAGGGAATCCATGCCAAACTCTAGGTTCGACATGGTGCACCGCGGGGGAGGGCGGCTAGGATTTTGGTGGCTCTGATACCATAAAGAATGTGAAAACCCTAACTCTTATTATGAGATCTCTTGGGCTTATATAGGCCCCTACACAACTTACAAATAAGTCCTTATGGGACTTTGCGAATTTGCTTTTAGGCTAAGACAACCATATAGCTATAAGATCTGAGCTAAAGAACCATAAATTTGGCTGCACTGGTTCTTGCAAAATAATCATAAAATACAGGGGAGGGCGGCGGCTAGGATTTTGGTGGCTCTGATACCATAAAGAATGTGAAAACCCTAACTCTTATTATGAGATCTCTTGGGCTTATATAGGCCCCTACACAACTTACAAATAAGTCCTTATGGGACTTTGCGAATTTGCTTTTAGGCTAAGACAACCATATAGCTATAAGATCTGAGCTAAAGAACCATAAATTTGGCTGCACTGGTTCTTGCAAAATAATCATAAAATACATGTTTAAACGCTGGCAAGCAAATTTCTTGTGCTGTTGTGCATAACCTGTTTCAGCGATGATGAGGAAAAAAGGATTAAAAAAGGAGCAGCCTGTTCATGGTGCTTTCTGTCATCAAAATGCTTCCATCTTCCATTTCAGGTGGCTTTGGTGGTTTTTCTTTCTCATGTTGGAAGTTTCGTACCAGCGGATGGTGCTGTTATTGGAATAACTGATAGGTTTGTGTGGAAGACCTGTACATTTTTGTTTGTGTTGATCTTGGAATTGATGGATGTTACTAACTTAAACTTGTTGCACTGTGATAGGATTTTTTGTGCTATGGGAAGCAAGTCCATGACAGCAGAACAATCATCTTTCATGATTGATCTTCATCAAGTGGGAATGATGCTTAGGTATTGTCATATTATACTGTTCATGTTTCATTTAATTATCTACGCTCGGTTCTTGGGTTATTTGCATTAATGATCTTATAGGCAGGCAACACCTCGGTCTTTGTGTTTGTTGGATGAATTTGGCAAGGGTACTTTAACAGAAGGTTGGGCGCTTAAAATGAGTGTAATTTATAAATTCAGCAATCAGAACCTATTAGCAGAATTACTTAACGCAAAAAATTTATATATGCAGATGGCATTGGACTCCTTGGAGGGATTATACTCCATTTTGCTAATTATGAATTTCCTCCAAAGGTTAGATAGATAATAATTCGTTGCTGTATATTTTGATTTTTCATAAAAGGCATTTATCTGTATATCAGTAGCATCTCAGTTAGATTGTACATTGTCTAGTTAACAATGTATTAATGCTGAAGTCAGAGGATAATGCCTCTTTTCACTTCAGGGAAGACCATAACCCTTAATTCTTTTGGAACAAAGTAATATCTAAAGGAACGAACTTTTTCTTAAGAGCCCATTGATGTATTATTACCTTATGCTCATCACCTGAAATATTTTATACTACTTGCAGGTTTTGTTGTGCACACACTTGACAGAAATGTTCAATGATAATGTCTTAATGAAGGTCTATAAATTGAGCCCTAAAGCTTAACTCTATATAGTGTCATCATTAAGCTTTTTTCAATGTGATAACCTTTCAACAAATACAGTCTGAAAATATCAAGTTTTACACCATGAGTGTGTTGAAGCCTGGCAACAACTGTGTGAGTGTAGATGACATCGTTTTTCTTTACCGGTAAGCTGCAACTTTTAGTGTTTTCTTTAGTTTGAAATTACTTTGCATTTTGTGTCGCTAATCAGAAGTTGACACTGTTTTGAAGGCTAATACCCGGGCATGCACTCCTGAGTTATGGTAGGGTATATAATTTACTTTAGGGTAATTTAGATGCCCATCAAATATCTTGCTAACAATAGATTTGTATTGCAGGATTACATTGTGCACGACTGGCTGGTATGTCTTTAGAAGAGCTTTTGCATGCTTCTCAATTGTTCCAAAATTTCTGTTTTCGTATTTCTTTTCTATAGTTGTGTTGCTGATTATTTGACACATTCACTTACGACTGAAGTAAACAAGTACTGATCATCTCCATAAATGCAATGGGGGGCCCCTTCCCAATTGAAGTAACAACAACAACAACAATAATAATGATAAAGTAAAATAATAAATGTGTAAGAGGAATCAATTCCTTTCCATTTTGTTTTTTTTCCCGCCATAAGCACCCTCCCTCCCACTCTAAGACTAAGGCCCCTAATTCCTTCATGTTTAATTGATACATTTAATTACTTCTTTCTGTAATAGTTCCTATAATAACTGAGAAGTAAATGAAATGGGCTTTTGCATTGAACAGAAATCTCATAATAAGCAATATTGCAATGTGCAAATTCTGTACATGTATTGTTGATTAGATTGTTTGCATTATTGAATTACATTTGGTTGTTAAGGAAAAAGTGCTTAGCTTTTTCTGATTGCAGGAGTTCCTGAGGAGGTTGTCAAAAGGGCAACTTTGGTTTTGGACGCACTGAAGTCTAATGAGCCAATCAGCCGTTTGGCTAACCAGAAAATATTGGCTAAAGATCAGCAATGCAAGGTATTGAATAACGTGATAATCTGTTAATAATAGTGAATCGATATAACGCTATTTATGAGCCATTAAGTGATTCGATTTAGTCACACTTTTTTCTTTATCAGCGGACAGTACGCCATGACTACTAGCACTTACTAGGATTAGGCATTCATCGCTTATTAGAATAGCCTCATGATAGCTATTAGAAAGCATGTGCGGAGTAGGCTCTAATTCTTTTACCAACTGATTGCAGGATGCAGTTGCTAAAATGCTGACTTTCGATGCTTACAAAGGTGACCTCGAGCAATTCTTTCAAGAAATTTTCCCCGCCGAGTTCTGATCTAGGAAGCCAAAGATCAGGCTGTGAATACATGGATTGTGTCTTGTCTGCGTATAGTTATGGAAATGTGCTGGGACAAGTCCCCTGTAGATTTTGATAAAGTGGGCTCTGAAGGTGTCGTTACAACAAGAAGAATGTAAAGAGTTAAGAATCATAAAGAGATAGGATTTGGTGTGTTCATTTTTGTGTGAATCTACACACCAAGTTCAAATGTAGATAACACGAGTATTGATATCTTCTATGCGCTTTAAAATTGAGAAATTTTCGTAAGAAATGCTACATTTTTAATGTTTCTCCACTTGAAACGGCTACTTTTAAAACGAGTTTAACTGGGCCAGACAGTCTACAGGGATTATCATCCTTAATTGAGTTTTTCTAGACTGTATTAAATGTGATATTTGCAATTATTACATTAACCTGCTTAATATTGTGACACAGAAATTTCTTAGTTGTTATTTCAAATATTCCTAACATAATCCTTGGATCTTTTTCAAGCAATATTTACATGGAATAATTTGTCATAGTTTAAAGCTGGTGAAACTTTGGAAACCACACCGCTACCCTCAGTATGAAAAAGCAAATATCCACAACATAATAATACATTAGCACAAGAAACCCTAGGCCACATAATAATAATTATATAGATGTCAAACAAAATGTTTCAATAGCCAAGGGCGGCATGTATTAACACACTGCAGTAGCATAATATCATGCATTTTAAGAACATATCAAAAACCAAAGATCGATATGGAGCCTCACGTCGAGGAATTCTTTTTAGGAATATATATCTTAATGCGGACTTCATTTTCTTGCGCATGTTTCGTACCATCAACAATCCCCCTCTTTGAAGATTTAGTAAGTGAGCATTACACAATGGACGAATCAACTTTGTCAATCCTCGATCTACATAGTCCTCGAGAATATAGAAGCTTTGCATCTTTCCATTATCATCAGATTCAAAGACAGGCTGTACCTGTACATTTGGATAGAAGTTATATTTGCATCACATATGCTAGAACCTTATGAACATTGCAAATCAAGAAAAAATATGCAGAACTGGATGTTAGCAGAATTTATCAGGCATTCTAAAATAACAGGTCAGACCTCTTTGTCTGAGTAGGATGCAACAATTTATCATATTTAGGAAATTTTCTCCAACCAAATATTGTCTCTAACATTAATTAATTTGCAAACCATGTGCACTTAAGAGATATGTATAAGACGAAGTATGTAACTAGCCCTTTGACAATAGATCATTTTAATAAAATTTGGCCCTTTCATCTATGAATAGCGAAATAATAACACCAACATAAATATTATTTATAATACTCGACTATACATATATTTGAAGAAATATACACATGTAATCATGAGTAATTATAGATAAGAAGAGACATTCACTAGGTTCTTAAGATTAAGGTTCCACATCCTTAGCTTAATTGAATGACTATAGCAATCTCCCTTTCATGCACTTCCAATTCTCTCTCCATAGTCATAGTTGAGGATCTCCTTCCATAGTTTCAGACTAAAATCTCTTTCCTTAATTTGAAACAAAGTGGCATATTCTTTATATTCAAGAGATATCTTTAAAAATTTTAGAAGAGGTTGATCCTACAAAGAGGTTGATCCTCGCCTAAAATTTTTAAAGAGGTTGATCGTAACCGATGTTCAAAATATATCTTCTACAAATGTGTTTGCCATAAAAACTCTCTGATAATTACAATTTTTTATGGTCTATCCCTACAATTTTTGATGGTCCATCCTGCTTTATCCTAAAGAAATTAGAAAGAAGATAAACAATAAAAGTAATGTTAAATAAATTAATATTAAAAAATATTTATTTACATGATAAATAATATAACCCATTGATTTCAATTAACAACAAATTACAATTGTCACTTATAACTAACTTTGTTTAGTAAGTGTAGTCATAAATTTTGTCAGACAGGGTTCTATCTGCAATGTCAATAGACAAGAATAAATATGTGACTACAATCTGACCATAATTGGCTGGCACATAGCTTAACCCTGAGAATCAAGGCCTATACCTCCTCGACGGTTCTAATAGTTTGATTGTGGTCATTTACTCAAAGTCATCTTAGCAATACCTCTTTTAAGAAATTCAATGAACCCTTTTCAACTAAATAGAATCTTCTGTAATAATGAGGTGAGTCACAAGACTTATCCAGGTGAACGCATAGCACCAAAAATTTTGACATCTGTCAAAGAAGTTGCAACTTGTATGTTAAACTCGTATTAATTTACACTAAAGAGTCTCCTTCCCTTCTTTTATTCACCATTTTCACGCCATGCTAAGAATATCAAAAAACTTGGTTCGAGATATCATCTTGCTAGAGGATACAAGGAGCAATAGGGAGATCTAAGGTTTGTATCATAAATACTTGCTTTTTAAACATTTTTTCCATTCTTATAAGTAAGAGTCCTAGTTTTGAATACAATACATTGAATAGATTGTTTTAAAGTGATTGCTATACATTTGTGCCTTTGAATTTAACAAATTTTAAGAGTAAGAATTAGCAACAGTTATTGGTTCATCTGTACATATGCCAGATACTTCCTATTGAAAATATTTTCCCTTTTGATCAGCATAAAAGCTCTACCTTTGTCAATAATGACCTCTATGGCTGCCCCTTCCTACATCAATTTAACTCATGTTGCTAGCCTGTACATTAGCCTCTTTCTAACACCAGTAAAAAGGGTTTCCAGCAAAAATTTTATTTATTTCCTAAATTATCTTTCTTAAGGAATCTGAATGTGCCACATGCAGTACATACAAGTTAAGTTTTATACTCAATGTCCTTTTCGGGATGAAGCAGTGGTGGTTAATCCTTCCCTTAGCAAAGGTTCGTTTTTGTATTATTCAAAAAGAAAATTTCATGTATTTTCTCCCCTAGAATATTGTATATCCAGTTATGTATAGTCTTAATATCCAACTTCCACACATTTATTTTATCCTGGTTGGAGGAAAACAATAAGCTGATAAATGGGTGTTTTCTGCTGCTAATAATATTGTTCTTTTATTCAAGTAAGGTTGATGTCACGATGGCTTGCCTCTACCAAAGGAGAATGGTTAGTGAATGTGGTCAAAGGAAAATTGTACTAGTCACTTCTTTTGTAGTTGTGTTGATCTCATCCTGGAAGGATAAGAAGAGTGAAGTCGTACATTTGAATCAATCCAATCATGATCCAGTTATCGCCCTTGTGATGGACAGTGAAACATTGATATCATGCTAATGTATGCCAAACCTTAGATTTTTTTTTTTAATAGAACAAAACCTGAGAAGGGTGGAGATTTGATTAAATACAATATGCACTCATGTTTCAATAAGCATAATTTTGTGAGCTAAGCTTTTGTGAAGTGATGCATTTCGTCATATTTCGTTATTGAGTCAAGGTAGAATGAGTAATCTCTATTATTATAAACAGATATCATAATTGTTTTATTCAAATGTAAGAAACTACATTGAACTATGAATAGCTAGTAACCAAGAAGCTATAATTTATCAGTATCAAACCGAATAACCGATGTTAATATATTTCAGACGTTAATATATTTCAGAAGAAACATAAACATCTATAGATCTATAAGTAGTGAACCCTGGAAGTAAAATTAATTTATTAGCTAGGATTCTTATACAGAAGATATGACAAGACTTTAAGTACATTTTAAAGCAATACTTCAAGCAAACCCGCATGCCAACATATTTGAGTGTTTGATATGTACGTTACGTACCTGACACGTGTGCATCTTCTCAGTCTAAATATTAGTAGCCTGTAGTTTGTAGCTCGTTGAAAACCTGTCGGTTATCCATCATATCCTCTTAACAAGAATTCCTCAAGGAAATTTACATTATGATCCTTTAAAAAGATGATTCCATGAAATTCATTAGTTATCTGACTCCAAAGCCCGCCTTCGTAGGAGTACCATTATGCCAAATCACATTGCTTCCTTCATACTTAAACAGACAAAATTACTTTAAGACAATACTAATAAAAATGTACTAACCATAGATAATACAAATAAAACTGTCATTCCTAGGTAATGAGAAAAATACATATCTACGTTGAAATTTAAATAAAATCTGTTGATGAAATAGGGCTTTGTTTTTATAAAAACGTATGCATGTTGCCAATATATAACCTCCTCTTCATTTCAAATGGTACCAAACAATAAGAGTATAAAGCAAATAAATAAGAGAGTTTGTAGAGTAAAAAAAAGTTAAACATAGTATTAAACTTTGTAGCTTTAAAGAAGAAGAAACATACTTGACTATATAAGCATCCCAATGCAAATCGAATCATATGACTCTAGATGAGAAGCAAAAAAATATATTGTCATCAAAACAATAATGTCACAATGCCACTTTCTTGTTCTTCCAATCCATTAACCTTTTCTGTTTCTTCGTCTCATTTCCTGCTTTCTCCTTTATTCCTTTATTTTACTATAAACTATAAGAGGTTCCGGTCTAGGTTATCCGCCCGAGGGTTGGGGGGCGAAGAGGTTCCGATCCGGGTTATCCGCCGACGTGGGGGGAGCCTAGAAGAGGAAGCATATTAATATTAGTAAAAACAATAAGAGGAAGCATATTTGAATTTATGACTCGTGGCATGCAAGGATTTACAATATTTTCCAAGAGAACTTAAAATGATGAACACTAGTTAACATTAATAATCTACAAGTTGCATATATTGAAAAATTAGCAATCATGCTCCAAAACAATAACAATAGGTGCTCCTATCTCGCTTTTAAGACTTGGTTAAAAACAGCTTTCAGTTACATGCAATATCTCATAAGGATAATCTAAGCAAGAAAGGATTATATAAAAATAACATCTTTATGCCTTTTTAAGTGTATTAAAGCTATAACTGTGAATCTGATAATGTATCAAGTAAACTTCTTCAAAACCTCATAGCATTACATGGTAAAACTAAGATCAGAAGCATCAGCGAAATTTATGATGCATACTATATCCATAGAAGGACAAGTCACATACTCACACACACCTTCATTTTAGCCCTAATAGACGCGTACTATGCTCATATAAGCACATATAGTCACACACACTCACACATCCTCGTGCGCACATGCATGCATGTGCACATCCACACACACACATTCCTCACACACATGCACACGTAAGCATGCACACACTTATTTATGTTGTCAGTTGTGGGTTATACGTTCATGTTAACTATTCATGAAAAGATAATTAAAGCAAATAAAAATATTCTTTATGGAGAGGGTGTGCTTGTCTCTTAGTGCGCATCCATGTGTTTCTGGACTTAAACCTACTAAATGTTCCTAGATGTTTAAGCATTTATGGTCATCGTGCGTGTATGTTAATATCATCTTTATAAATGAATTGTTCTATCATGTATTGCAGCTACCTGAGGAACATTTATAATTGGGTAAATAACACAAAACCACGCTGAACATTGGGGGACTTTTTGGGGGGATTTTGCACAAAAACACCCTAAACTGAACTCTCAACATGATACGGAACAATGCAAACAAATGCCTGCAAACCTAGCATCATCACTGTCGTCCTAAGTGAGTAGTAAACTGATATATCATATCAAAGTCCTTAACTAAAATGTGAAGTACATTTTATTAGCATTTTAGTAGTAGATAGTGTTTGTTATATAAACTAGAATTATCAAATATATCGTGTTTCTTCCTTTCAATTATATATGCCAAACCTCTTCCAAGCAATTTCTTTTCTTGTTCTTGCACAATCAGTAAATATTGGATGAACCAGCGATAGTGCAAATTTCTGCTGTTCGTCATTCTTTTTAAGAGTGCAAGAATTTAACATTTTTGAGAATTTTACTTGAAGGTCTGAAACAAATTTCAAATGGAAAGACAAGAGGAGGAAAGGAAGGCTGCAAAACTGCACACAACAAGCATACTTGATCTGCCAGAAGTGATAATTATGTATATAATATCACTATTACCTGTAACATCAGCAGCGAAATGTGCCGCTGTAACCAAAAAGTGGCTAGAGCTTTGGAGATCAATCCCTGACTGGACTCTAGACTACAATTTATTTCCAAATGTGGAAAACAAGAATAAGAAGTTTAGGTCTTTTGTTGACAAAGTTGTATATATGCATCAAGGGCCAGGCATTAAGTCCATGAAGATCCACTACGTTCAACATGATCAATATGATCTCATAAGCCTTCATCATACAGAACGGTGGATCAGACACTTGGTTCAGAAGAACATTGTTAGACTGGACATAAATATTCATAATCAAGCACAACTACCCTTTTCACTGTTTACTTGTGGGACAATAACAGAACTTAGACTCGGAATTCTTTTCAAGGAACTACCTCTGAAGGGCGAGGTGTTACTCCCTAACCTAAAAATATTATACCTTGAGCAAATAAAATTTTCTTCTCAAATCCAATTTGAGAGATTGATGAATGGATGCCTGGTACTTGAAGATTTACATATGAAGGGGTGTTCCTTCTTTGCTCCCGATTTCAATCATCTTACTTTTTCACATCCGAACATAAAGAGCCTAAACCTCGAACGCTGTGGTGGTATCGGAGCACTGAAGATCTATATATGGTTGCCGAGCCTTTCAGAATTCAGATTCAACGGAGCAGGTTTGGTCGATCAAGAGGGAGTAATTGATCTCTCTTCAGTTAGTACAGCAGTATTGGACCTTGACGATATTCTTTACACATATCGATGTCGTATGTCAAATGGAATCATGACAAGCTGTGGTTCAAACATGTCCCGGATTTTGGCAACAGTTTGCCATGCCAGAAAGCTAACACTAAGTGATTGGTGTCTTGAGGTATGTTTCTTTCTTTTTTGTCCCATGAACAGTATATGTCCCTTGATTTACTTCATTTGGGTAGTTCTATTTAGGAAAACAATTCATAAAAGCATAGTGATTTTGGCACGTTACCTCAGCTCTTGATTCAGTTGACTCAAATTTACATTATATGTTAAGGCTGAGCTATTTTACAAGCCATAAAGGCAGATTCCATGGTACATTAAACTTATGTTTAACCAAATGGCTCTCTACAACCTACCTGGCTCTTAAATGTGTGAACGTGGGGGCCCACGAACCACGTGAATCCATGTGAATGGCTAAGGAACGCAGCTTGGAGAAGGGGGACCACCATGAGTTCGGGAGTTCAGCTAAGAACCATCAGGTTTTTGCGTGAAGAGGTAAGGAAATACGGCCCACAACCCGAGATTTGGCAGCTATATATATAGCTATCTTTTCTTAGGTTTTTTTTTGGGCTGAAGTGGGCGCAAGAGCAAAAGGGGGTTTTGGTTTTTGCGGCTGCACGAGAAAGTGTGCAAGGACGGCGTACAGGGGAGAACACAGAAAAGACTTTTGCGACTGTGAGGAAGAGCGACGGCTGCAGCAAAGAAAAAAAATCATAGGGCTTCGTGAAGAGAGTTTTGTGCAGTCTCTTGTGCTGATTTTGAGAGAGGAATTGAGAGATTAGATGGAGGGTTTATTTGTGAGATATTGAGAGGTTGTAAACCTATTTGTATTCTCTTTCCTCTAATTGTAGATCCCCCTCCTTGCCCCGTGGACGTAGGCAGTTTGCCGAACCACGTAAAATTAGTTTGTTTGTATTTGTGGCTATTATAATAGTTTTTTAGGATCCCTCGACAAGTCAGTCCTAGAACTGATGAGAGGAAGAGCCGATATCTCACTTTGTTGAGATATTCGCTTCAGATTCTTGTTTCCTTGGTGAGACGGGAATTCTTATTGATCTTTCTCTTATTGTGCACCAGAAACTCTGCCGAAATTTTCGCTGCGCACAACAAGTGGTATCAGAACCCAGGTTCCAGATCTAGGGTTTGGTTGGAGGAGTAGATCAATTTGGAGGCTCGTCTAGGGCTTTGTTTGGTGATAAATGTGGGATCTTTTTGGTAAAGACTCTATCTTTTCAGTTTTGGATCTATTCTTCGTTCGTTAGTGCGTTAAGAAAGGATGTCGGGGAAAGAAGATGCTTCGGGTGTCGAGGGTGATGCTTCTGGCGTGAAGACCATTCAGAGTTTGAATATCCACTCTATGAAGATAGATGTGGAGAAGTTTAATGGCATAAACAATTTTGGATTATGGAGATGCGAGGTTTTGGATGCGCTGAACGCGCAGAATTTGGAAGATACCTTGGAGTTAGATAGCAAGCCAGATGACATTGAAGAGAAGGTTTGGAAGAAGATGAATCGAACGGCGTGTGGTGTGATTAGGTCTTGTTTGACTCAAGATCTAAAATATGATGTGATGAATGAGACTTCTGCAAAGAAGATTTGGGAGATTCTCGAAAGTAAGTATCTGACAAAGAGTGTTGAGAACCGCTTGCATTTGAAGAGGAGACTTTATCGTTTCAAGTTGAAGAAGAGAACCTCAATTAGAGATCACATGAACACCTACACAAAGCTTCTTACGGATTTGACGAATATGGATGTCATGATTGAAGATGAGGATAAGGCGTTGCTGTTGTTGAGTTCCTTGCCCGACGAGAAATATGAGACATTCGTCCTTACTCTGATTAATGGGAATGCATCTCTTTCGTATAGTAAAGTCACTGCTGTACTAGTGAATTATCAGCTTCGGAAGAAGGATAATGAGACTTCGATTGAGTCGGTAGCAGAGGCGTTGGCCGCAAGAGGGAAGGGTCCAAACCGAAAGAATTAGATGTTACAGTCTAGAGTAGGACATCCTACAATTAGAAAAGATAAGTGTGCTTGGTGCAAGGAGACTGGTCATTGGAAGAAAGACTGTCCAAAGCTCGACGAATGGATGAAGAATAAGCAGAAGGGAAAAGGGAAGCATCCATCATCAGAAGCAAACATCGTATCGGATGATAATATTTTCGACTCTTTTATTTATTCGTTTTCTATCAGTCCTATATGTAGCTATTCGGAGAAATCCGAGTGGATGTTGGATAGTGGTGCGACCTATCATGTATGCCCTAGAAGGGAATGGTTCTTCAGTTTTGAAAAGCTGGATAGTAGTGTGGTGTACATAACTGATAACCGTGTATGCCAAATCCTTAGGATAGAAAGAATTCGCATCAAGATGTTTGACGGGACTGTTAGGGAGTTAAATGATGTGAGATATGTTCCTTCTTTTGACGGGACTGTTAGGGAGTTAAATGATGTGAGATATGTTCCTTCTTTGAGGAAGAACTTGATCTCGATTAGAGCTTTGGTTGGAGAGTGTGAGATATGTTCCTTCTTTGAGGAAGAACTTGATCTCGATTAGAGCTTTGGTTGGAGAGGGTCTGAATGTTCGAATTAAGGACATGGTTCTCAAGATTGTGAAAGACTCTCGGATTGTGATGAAGTGTGTCAGAAGGAATAACATGTATTACTTGACTGGAGGTATAGTGACAGGTGGAGAACTATCGACTTCTATTGATTCGACTAGACTGTGGTATTTAGGGTTTGACCATTCCAGTATTGATTCCTTACATAGATTGAAAGAGGGTGCGAAGACCTGCACTTTGAAGTCCAGTGAACATGTTAATGTGAGCAAGAAGACTAAGGTAAAGTTTGACACCGCTGTTCACCGTGCTAAGGGTCGTTCTGAAGGAGTTCACGTGGATGTTTGGGGGTCTTCCAAGGGGGCATCATTGGGAGGTAACAGAAGTTTGGTTTTCTTTGTTGGTGACTGTTCTAGACGTGTTTGGGTTACAACCAAATTTTCTTTGGATAAAGTCCTAGTAGCCTCCAACAGATTGAAGAAGTGTGTGATAGACAGAAAGGTGAAGATACTTTATTCTGATTTTCGTGGGAGGTACAAGATAGACCTATTTCTGTATTGAAGCCGAGCTCACGGCATTGCGAGATACTTCGTTGGAAAGAAAATCTTGGGACAACCAGATAGGGTAGCAAATTTGGAGAACCGTGTCTTGCTGGAGGAGGATCGGTGTTTGTGGTCGAGCAATGGTTTGCAGAAGAATTTCTGGACTGGGGCTTCGACATATTTGGATCATCCTATTAAAGAATTATCAACTACTACGATTTGAGGTAAAACTCCATTGGATGTTTGGTCTGGTAGTGTCACTTTGGATGAGGCTTCGATAAGGGAACTAATTGACTCTCAGCAGGTGGAGAGTTTTGGACAGACCTTAGATGTATCGCAGTGGGTGGAGATGGATGCTACTCCACATTGGGTGAAGATTACTCCAGATCATACTGTATTGTTTGGGATTTTAACTGAGGTGACACAGCTTAGGGATCATTTGGATTTGGATGCAGATGATGAGTTGGGTTTTGATTCGGGCGCAGCTGATAGATATAGTTTGGATATGGTCATTGGTTCACCTCAGGTGGAGGTGTTTGAGGTCATTGGATGTGCTATCAGCCGCAGAGTTGATAATATTGAAGAAGGGTTGTGAACTCTTTTATTGGATTGAGGTTGTTCGCGGCCATTTGGATGAACTACGTAAGGCTTGATTTCTTGGGCAAGAGGATACGTAGACAGTCTTTATGATGCAGCCGATTTGTGAGTTGATACCAACATTTGGAGAGTGTTCGTATTCTCGTTTGGGTCTCAACTTGTTGTGGATTGAGTCTGTTATTGTGGATTGATTCCACTTCGTACTGGACGCAACAAGTGAGGTATTTGTTTTGGTTGGTATCGGCCCAGTTTTGAAAAAACTTCATCGAGGTGGAGAATTGTGAACGTGGGGGCCCACGAACCACGTGAATCCATGTGAATGGCTAAGGAACGCAGCTTGGAGAAGGGGGGCCACCATGAGTTCGGGAGTTCATCTAAGAACCATCAGGTTTTTGCGTGAAGAGGTAAGGAAATACGCCCACAACCTGAGATTTGGCAGCTATATATATAGCTATCTTTTCTTAGGGTTTTTTTTGGGCTGAAGTGGGCGCAAGAGCAAAAGGGGGTTTTGGTTTTTGCGGCTGCAGGAGAAAGTGTGCAAGGACGGCATACAGGGGAGAACGCAGAAAAGACTTTTGCGGCTGTGAGGAAGAGCGACGGCTGCAGCAAAGAAAAAAAATCTTAGGGCTTCGTGAAGAGAGTTTTGTGCAGTCTCTTGTACTGATTTTGAGAAAGGAATTGAGAGATTAGATGGAGGGTTTATTTGTGAGATATTGAGAGGTTGTAAACCTATTTGTATTCTCTTTCCTCTAATTGTAGATCCCCCTCCTTGCCCCGTGAACGTAGACAGTTTGTGAACCATGTAAAATTGGTTTATTTTGTGTTTGTGGTCATTGTAATAGTTTTTTAGTATCCCTCGACAAGTCAGTCCTAGAACTGATGAGAGTAAGAGTCGATATCTCACTTTGTTGAGATATTCGCTTCAGATTCTTGTTTCCTTGGTGAGACGGGAATTCTTATTTAGTAGATCTCCCCCTCCTTGCCCCGTGGACGTAGGCAGTTTGCCGAACCACGTAAAATTGGTTTGTTTGGGTTTGTGACCATTGTAATAGTTTTTAGGATCCCTCGACGCGCAGTCCTAGAGCTGACGAGAGGAAGAGATAATATCCCACTTTGATGGGATATTAGGTTTCAGATTCTTGTTCCCTTTGAGAAACAAGAATTCTTATTGATCTTTCTCTCTTATTGTGCACCAGAAACTCTGCCGAAATTTCCGCTGCGCACAACAAAATGACAAATAAAGGTTTCATGCTCTATTTCTTGTTAAATTTTGTTTCAATATTTCTTATATCACGATGTTTTTCCTATGCAAAGTACCTGTCTATGAGACTACACAGCTTGCATTTCGTCGCTTCTGGTAAGTTGGAGTCTTTGGATCTGCAAATGTGGCCAAATGGAGGACACAGTTACGTGGTTACACAACTGCTCAGGTGCTACCCAAAGTTAAAGTCCCTAAAAATCACAGTCGTTGACGTAAACTGGGTGAGTTCATGTCATTTGACTAACCTTTGATCATGTACAAGTAATAGTATACATAAGCCTGCTCCGTTAATCTATATGCAGGGTTACTCTGATGGAATTTTTGACGACGAAAGGGAGAACTACCCCCAGTCTCCAGACATCCTATCAGAAGAAATGGTCCATCATAATCTGAGAATGCTTGAGATCAAGGGATGTAAAGGCTATGGCGAAGAACTTCGAATAATGAAGTTCTTGTTACAGACTGCTGTCGCCTTAGAAAATTTTAATGTTGACATTTCTAAGGATGAAGAGTCATGGACAGTAAATGACATCCTAGCATTAACCCAAGCCCCTACCGTGGAAACCAAGATCAATATATATTAGATCCATAGTGAAGCATCAAGTAAAGCGACCTTCTAAGCTTTATATCTAGATCTTTTTTTTTTAAATGTCAGAAATCTCATGTGGACCTTATATCTAGTTCTTATTTCTATAGTTTGTACATTTTGCCTTTGGTAGTTCTAAATGTTGAACTTCAGACCTTTATCATTATGGTTTTTAACTTATGCTGATGGAGGCTTCTAACCTTGAACTTTGCATATGTAACCATGACTTTAGACCTTATCATCATGACTCGTAACTGCTGCTGCTTGTGGATTTCTGCAATCTTCAAAAATACTCTCTGAATGTTCATGTATGTGAATGCACATGTATGTTTGCATATGCATGCATGCATGCATAAATGCTTTCCTTTTCAAAAAAAAGTTGTGCTCAGCAGGTATGTGAAACCTATGGCTTATCCTACTTTCTTAGTCAATCATGCTTGTATATGATGAAAAATGTGTCAGTTGAGTTCTATGATATTTCTCCTCACATGTTTCTCAATATGTCGCATTTAAAAGTGACAGCAAGTCCTCAATGAAGGGAAATACTTAGCAACTGATTCTTTTGCAATGCTTCAAAAATATCCATATTACCAACAGCCAAAACATCATTAAGGTTGAAGAAGTTTTTGCGGGATAAAGAAGCCATCAGCAATACGTTGATCACAAATAAGTTATCCAAAATGGAAGGAAGGAAGCACCTTATAGTTTCTTAGAATCTTATTTACATATCACATGAAGCTTAGATAGTATCATATTTAGGCACAAGATTTTAATCAATACCACCCATAAACCAATATATTTCTTAACATATATACCTAACTGGGAGAATTGCTCTACCTGATTTGTGGGAAGCACTGATGATAGAGAATCTTGTAACCTCTTCACTAACTTTCCTGGATTGGCTCCAACCATCCAGTCTATCTCCACTCCATCGTTTATTCGTGAAAAGGTAGGCATTGAGTTCACATTGAATGTGGAAACCACTTCCTATAAGATCCACCAAAAACAAAGATGATTGATACATTTTTGAAAAATGAGAATTTGCATCTTAAATGTTAAGGGAAGGATTACACATGCATAAAGGATTACACATCCGTGAAAGCATTTTCTAATGAAGGAGAGTAGAAAGAAAATAGATAGAAAATTGATAACTCACATACCTTAACATCAAATTTCATATTTGTAAATACCACACTGGTTAAAATAATCTGTCTAAAGAATTAAGAGGCGCTAACCACAATATGCCTTTCTAGATTGGTAATAAGTAGCCCAATAGAAACTATTAAACCCTTCCTCCAACTAAAAACCTCAATTGCACAGAGATTAACTTGATAAAAACTTCTCTTTAATTTTCTTCTAAACCCCAGCTCGCATGCCAATCTGACACAAACCACATTCACTTATGGACTATGGATCAGATGAAGTATGTTGCTTACCCTTAGACAAAAGCTAATTGCTTGGCACATCGTTTCAATAAAATTTAGTTCTTTCATCTATAAATAACAAATAATAGGACCAACACAAATATTTATACTTGAAACATATATTTTTAAGAACTATACACATAAATCATGCGTTACTACAGATCAGAAAATACACTCAATGGAATTCTTAAGATTAAGATTCACATCCTTAGCTTAATTGAATGACTGTAACAATCTGTTTTTCATGCCCCTCTAATCCCTCCATAGCCATAGAAGAGGTACACCCTCTGTAGTCTCAGATGGAAGTCCATTTCCATAATTTTGAAACTTGATTTCCTAAACAAAATGGTGTATACTTCTATATTCAAATCAAGTAGCCACCTTCAGAAATGTTAGAAGAGGTCGATCCTAACTTATGCTATATAATAATTTTACGCAATATTTGTCAAAGAAGGATTGTTATTTCCAAAATCTTTTAAGTTGATCCAGTTAGAAGAGGATTGCCATACAACATAAACAAGGAAACCAGTTAAGACATAGTGAGTTAAGAAGTTATCTAATAGTGGCCATAAAAATCATCCTATAAAAGTATATCTATAATGGTCTATCCTGCTTTATTCTATAAAAGCAAATAAACAATAAAAGTAAATCTCCAAAATGTTCAAAAATATTTATTTAAATGACAAATCATACAACACATGGATTTTCTATAACAACAAATCACAGTAGTAACTTACCTAATTTGAAATATGTAACCAGATTTTCTGAAGAAGTGTAATCATAACTTTTCTTGGACGAGTTTTATTACAATATTAAACAAACAAGAATAAATATGTGACTACAATCTGACCAATTGGCTGACACATAGCCAACTGCGTGAATCAGAGCCTACCTCTTCGGTAGTCTCTGATAGTTTTGGCTGTAGTGCTTTTTACATAGTCAGTTTAGAAATCTCCGTAAGTAAATTTGACAAACTCTTTTCATATACATGGAATCTCTTGTAATAATGAGATGAGTCAGAAGACTTATCCAGGTGAATGCACAACAGGACAAGTTTAGACATCTGTCAAAAAAGTTTGCGAGTAGTACATATGAACTTTCCATTAAAGAGTCTCCTTCACCTCTTTTATTCACCATTTTCCAAGTCGTGCTAAGAATATCAAAAAAGTTAGTCAGACATAATCGCCTTGCTAGAGGATACAAAGAGCAACAACGAGATCTAAGGTTTGCATAAGAAAATACTTGCTTTTTAAGCATTTTATTTGCCGTTCTTACAGGTAAGATTCATTGGATTGAATATTTCCCCCATTTTTTCCTTTAATGAAAATCCATACTTGGGAAAGATTTTTTAATAGACTGCTTTAAAGCAATTTGACATACATTTGTGGCTTTGAATTTAACAATTTTAAAGATTAAGAATTAGAAACAGTCACTGGTTCATCTGTACATACCAGATACTTCCTATTGGAGACAATTTCCTTTTTGATCGGTGTAAAAGCTCTTCCTTTGTCAATGTAACCCCTACGACTGCCTCTTTATGAAATTCTTCCAACATCAACTAAAAACCTTTTGCTAAACCTCAGTCAGTACATTAGCCTCTTTCGAACACCAATAAGAAGGTTCACCAGTAAACCTTTTGTTTATTTCCTAAACTATCTTTCCTAAAGGAATCTGAAATCTATGCTACATGCAGTACAAATAATATTTATATTCGATGTCCTTTACAGGATGAAGCAGCACCCCCTAATACCTCCCTTAAAAATTTAATTTTCGTGTATTCTTCAGAAAAATATTTCTATGCATTTTCTTCCCTAGACATCCGAATAAGTATAAGTCTCAATATTAAACTTTTACACATTTATTTTATCCTGAGTGGTGGAGAACAATGAGATGATAAATGGGTGTCTTTTGCTGGTTGTTATTACCAATTTTGTTGTTCTCTTAGTCAAGTACAGTTAACGTCTTGATCGCATGCCTCTGCCAAGGAGAAAGGTCAGTGAATGTTGTCATTCTCAAAGGACAATTGTACCCGCCACTTCTTTTGTAGGCACACTGATCTCATCTAGGAAGGATGAGAAGAGTGAAATCATGCATTTGAATCAATCCAATCATGAATCTAGCTACCAACATAATCAACCCTTTGATGGACAGATGTTAATATCAAACTAATGTATGTCAGAACCTTAGAATGTTTTTTTTTCCTTTTAAGACAACAAGACCTTGGAAGAGTGGACCTTTTAGTTAATACAATAGTGCTTAGATATCATGCACATATGTATGTAAGTATAATTTTGTGAATAAGGTTTCTGGGTTGTATGTTTCATCATATCTTGTTAATGAGACCAGATGGAGCGGGCAATCTCTGTTATTCAAGAACATTTACCATATTAGGTTTACTCATAAACTATGAGATACGGAAGAAACTACATTGCATTATGTACAACTAGCAACCAGTTAGCTATGATGCCTATGAGCATCATCCCAAACGACCTATGTTTATATATTTAAGAAGGAAGAATACATAAACACCTATAGATCTAATGAAGTAATCAACCCTGTCAGTAATATTAATTTCTAGTAAGGATATCTTATGTAGCAGATATGACATGAATTTAAATAACATGTTAAAAGCAATATTTCACATAAACCCAAGTGTCCAGAAATTTGAATGTCTGGTATGTACCTGACACGAGTGCATCTCCTCTGGTGAAATATTTGAAGTTCGTAATTCATACCTATATTTCTTCTTCACCTCCATTAGATTTGTGATACATCAATATAGTACAATGCTATCACAACTTCATTGACAAAGTGGAAAGAAATACCTCACCAAATATAAAGAAGGAAAGTCTCTGTATCAAGTTAAATTGATTAGAGGCCGTGGAATGATCATATTTCAGGCTGCTCGATTGTTAATATATGCACCCCAGTGTAGCTACTAAAACTGCCAGACTAAGCTGGGTGATTGTATCAATATTATTATAAACGAGTCTTCTCCAAAAAGAGACCAATTTTAGTATTTCATTTTACAAAAGTTGATCAACTTTCTGAATGTTTTTTATTTATTTGTTAATTCCCAAGACTGGCAGCCCTGAGATTGGCTT